CTGACTGCTGGGGAGGGGAAGGTGTCTGGTTTTTAATCCTGTCTCACCTCATTCTGCAATAGCCAGAAGCATCTTCATCTCCAGCTATTGAAAACGAGCAAAACGAGCAAACAAAAAATTCCCAAGTCAGCACCCTACACTACTAAAAGGTCAGAGAGTCCCTGAGGAAGCATCTTATGGCTCACTATCCTCTCATCTCGGCTTTCAAGAAACACTGTATTCTCTGCAACAACWACAAAAAGCAGTCAGCGCTGACCCTCCATGTAGAGATTCCTGAAAGGGAACTTCCCATCCAACATAATCCCATTCCCAGCAAAGAGAATCAATAAAAACTCTTTGTCAACCAACCCACTTCGTATCTGTTACCAGAACCTAGYGTACAAGTACCAAACTAGCCTCTAAGCTACTGCAAAATTTAGAAATAAAAAATTCTGGTCCTTACTGTAAGCATATCTTGGTACTCATCTAACAAAACCTGAAATTTAAAATATGTATTTCAAGATTTACCAAAAAAGCTGTCATGTGTTCTAATTTTGTCCCAAAGCAATTCAAAGTGCTTAAAGAGAATTGATCAAAGAAAAATAAATAAGAAATAGACTAATAGTCACAACAGTGAATCACCCACAACTTAGAGATGAGTAGCTATTAAAAAAATGAATGATGAACTTAAATGAATTTTCTCCCAGTACTGACATTCTAGCGATGGTCTAGCTGCTTTTCCACTCCYTGCCACAGTCAGAGCTCAGAACATTCTGCTTGTTAGAAGAAAGACTGGCAACTTTTTAGCTATTACARAACTAGGGAATCAGGGGAATCGAGCTGAGGCCCCAGGAAGTCACAGAGTAACTCCGATGTGATCCCATGATCTGGGTGAGAACTCCTAACTTGACCCACTAGAAGGAAATAGTTCTTAAATTTCTCTTTCCAGGTTGCACAGCTTCAGGAACAGGGCCTGGATTCTGCCCTACTTTTTTTTTTTTTTTTTTTTTTTATCAGTATGATTCTATAAGCTTCAGTCAGACATCTAAGCCTATGCAGGATTTGAAACCCTATGATGAGCACTAAGGAAGCAGAGGCAAATATTTTTTATTTGCCCACTGAGTGCACTCCCTGCAATTTAAGTACTTTTCCTATGCAGTTACCCTGTGGCTGACTATATGTCACACAGCTCTTCCCTCAAAAAATGATTTATTCAAAGCTGTCTCCGAGAACAGAAAAGTGTGCTAGCCTGCCAGCTACGCACAGCATGACAGGCCACATTTCAGGAAAATGATTCAATAAATTCAGAATGTTTTACACAGCTTTAATTAAGCCTTACACTAAGCCCAGTTGGCAATGAAGAGCATGAATCACAGAAGGAGCCCTGAGCAACATCTGCACTTGAGCGACTGCTCCTCGAGAAGAGCAGCGACTTGCTGCAGCACAAGTCTAGCAAGTAACATCCTGTTCCATATGATAGCACCCTATGGATGAGAAATACGGAAAACCGTCACTCGTGGTCCAGATGCTACAGGGACCAAGTCCGTAGCTGCAATTAAACCCTCTTCATATCCTCGGTATGTTGTCAGGAGACCCTGCAACCCTCGYGCATCTCCATGGCACATGCAGACCAAGGACCAGCAAGAGGCAGGAGTGTTGGTGCATCCAAGTTTGGGAAGGGGAGAGGTGCTCCATACACAGTGTCATATGGCTAGATGCTGCTCTCAGGTGACACAGAGTGAACTGGAAGCAGGTGATTCACTGTGAAACAAAGTTTTTCACGATAAACAACACTCAAACAGTAATCAATTGGAAGCAGCAATTATTGCTCAGCTTGCAGAGAGYAAAACCACTGTCCACAGCCTCTGCTGTGGACAATATCCTTTCAAATGAGTTCACAGAACAAACTTGAAGAAATTCTGCGYCTGACTCATTTGGATCAACTGTAATCAGATGAATTATCACCCAAGTCTCCCCTCTCAGTCAACAGGAAAGACTAGTCAGATCCTAAATACAATAAACTGTACTCCAAAGCAAGTACGTACTTAGGAACAGAAGACTATTTCTTGACATCTACAATGAAGATGAATCCTCTGTGTCTAGCTACGTAGAATCTATTTTAGAGTTGCTTTGGTCACAACCTCCCAATTTTCCCTATACTTTTGAAAGAAACATAAAAGAAAAAAAACAGAGAAAAGTGGCCAGTCCCTCCCCCCAGGAGGGGGCTTTGTGGGGCTTCATTCATTCTTTGCCACATCACCTTTTCTCGGGGGAAAATTACATATAAACCTTTGGAGTGCTAAAGTGATAGCAAAGTCAGGTGTAAAAGGAAAGAACAGAGCAGCTAYCAAAGGAATGGTTATTATTTCAACCTGGAGAAGTACCGCAGGAATGATTTCATGAAAGAGCACACTGAAGAGCGAGCAAGAAAATTAGAGTAGGTGGATGGAGAGAAAATATACAATTTTCCAGCTCAGTGTAACAAAGCAGAATAAGGGGCTTTCTCACCCTAGAACTGTGATCATTTGTGCGTAAAATTGTAGTTTGTTTCCACTTTAAAAGTAAATAAACAAATAGATAGGCACCGTGCAAGTATCTCATCACAGAAACAATTTACCCTTGACTCCAGGGACTGCCAAGTGACTCATGTCTCCTGATGACACAATTAGTTCATAGCCAGCAGTCGCTGGGGCACCAGCTGTCATTATGGAACACGTCCATTTTCACAAGGGAACAGTTTTCACAAATTTTCTATCTGTCTCGAGCAAAAATCCTTGCTCCAAGAATACCCAGCAGCCCACTTGTATTGTTTTGCAACTTTCGGAGCGCTTGTCAGGGCTGTTTTCCCCACACACCCCCATCTCCACCCTCACTCAGCCTAACAGTTGCTCAATAATAACTGCTACAGTCCAGACTGCAGAAGTCATTTAGAAAGCAAGTATTACAACATATATCTGCCTGCCTGATTAATTAAATCAGAGTTGGGTGTTTTGGTGTACGCTTAGTGAGAAATGTGGTCAGCTGGCTAGTTAGTCTATAGCCAAGATCTGCGAACCTGAGAAGAACAGAGACACACAGAGGAATCCTCTTCCTTGTCGGACTCCATGCACTTTCCCCCAGCTATGCAAACTGCTCTATATCCAACTGCATCAGGGCTTCTCGGAGAGAGGAGAGGAGGGAAAAAAGAAAAAAMAAACAAACACAGGGGAAGTTCTTGATGGGAACATGTAAAGTGAGATCACTCACCCTRCAAACACTGATTTTACAAAGGTTTGAGAAGGTCACGGCAAAGCACTTACGAGGGATACCTCAGTGAAGGAGAGCACCTGCTGCRACCTGAGGTAGGGAAAGCTCTGCCACCAAGCAAAGCCAGCAGCTACATTCTCTACCAGGTAGGGCCCCATCTCCCCCTCATTTAGGGTGAGGGGGTCCACAGGAAATGGGGTTGGTGCATTTTCAGATCTCAAGAGAAAAGTTTTCAAAAAACACTACCTGTCACACTTCACGGCTCTTTGGCAAGGAGAACCGTGCTGGTGCAGAACAAGCTAGGAAGAGACCAAGTAGCATGTGTCTTAGGGAACACAGTCCAGCAATGAGCAGCAATCCCAGGTCAAGACATTTATAGTTTTGTCATGTAACTTCAATGACACAACTTGCAAAATCTACCTTGTTCTGTGGGTGCTTAGCACTTCCACAGCAGCGCTCTCCCACTTTGAGTGTCCTCGGTTAGAGCAYACACAACCTCCCGAGGAAGCAAAACAGCTCCAGCCACGAATTGCCACAASCCAGCCTCTGAATGTGCTTGGTTTCAAAGGAGAAAAGCCCCTCGTGCTGTAAGCTGTACTGCCCATTCCTCCTCACTAAAGGAACGTGCTGAAGAATATGGCTGCTAGCTGGGCTTCAGCCAGGATTTAGATGGAACGCTTAGCTTGGACCCAGGCCAGACCAGGCATAGCACCCTTACATACMTGACAAGCTGCTAATAACTGCAGGCAGAAAGTACGTTTCTCCTCTATTCAAATGACTTCCCCCCCTCCGCCAAGAGTCATTTAATTGAAGCATTGTTTTTCACAAATCTAAGCTAGAACTATTTGAAGATCTCTCCCAAAGAAATTCCTACCAGCCAAGCCTACTTGTTCTGTAACAGGACAGCCTGGGGCCATGCCTTTAACAGGTCCCTCTAGGAAAAAGCCTTGGCAGGAGCAACCCTAAGTAATCCAGGTTATCAGATTCCAGGGCAGGAAACAGCAGAGCTCTGGGGCTTCAATGTGCCTCAGAAACGCTTGCTGCATCCAGCAACCCCATTAGTTATTTATGCCCTCCAAGACATTTAGAGAACTTGTCCATCAACAAGATCAGACCACAGGCAAGCAGGAAGTGCAGTTTATAATCCATTTGTCACTTCAGCTCACTTGTGTGCACTGCACACAGGAGAGAAAAAAATAGGAGGAAGCCAGTATAGCCTAAGGTTATTTACAAGAGCACCATGCGAGTGGATGTGATCCACTGCATTACATTATTTCAATTCACCCCTTAAGTTGTGCTTTAATGTTCCCTGATAAAATTGGTGTGGGCACACATGCACAAAAGAAAAAAAATAAATAAAAACAACACAACATGCCAGACAGACACACACACATCGCTCCAAAAATATCTGTTCTTATCTACAGGATGCTGCACTCAGAAACACGTTTCATAGAAATAAAGTGGTGGCTACTGCTAACTCAGCCAGATAAAAGGTGAAATACCACAATACAGCAGAATAAGGATTTAAAATAAATAAATAAATACACCACACACATTTTTATAGTTTTTCTTATTGTATTTGTCTGTTGARCCTCTGTAATTAAAGCAGACCAGGGAAATTGGAGTGATAGGCAATATTTCACTCTCAGTGTGGGTTTATTAGTGATCCACACACTGTAATGGCCAAGCAGAGCAGGTTACTGCTCAGCCAGACCTAAGCACATCCCTCCCCTCAGGATCCAGGCACCGACGCTGCCTTGCTGAGGTGGCATCAGCAGACATATATAAAGCTGAAGGTAACTGCAGATACCAGAGAGCAAACTGCAGCACTTACAGAGCAGGAAATACATCCAAGGATGAGGAAAAAGGAAAAAAAAAAATCTAAGTAGTAATGGCAATTACATACAACAACCTTTTTTCCATAAAAATTAAAGCTTCAGAATTGTATAAAATATCCTGAATGAAACCAAATGAATTTATTCAGGTTAAATTCATTTTTCTAACTGAAGGCTAAAATAGGGAAATACACTTAAAACCAACACTCCATGAAACAAATTGACTTAGTAATATTCTCAAAAGATAAAGTGACATTTTGAGTGAAATGCACTTAATTTCAGCCCCAAGCCATTAGAGGGTTAACATCTTTTTAAGAATGGAAATGGAGAAGGTTGCAATTTGGAAGTTGCATCCATTTCAGAGCTCARGACTAAGATTTCTTCCCCATTTTCCATCATGAAGGGGTTAAAACTTTTCCTTTTAAGAGAAYAGAAATTAAGGAAAATTTATCCAGCACTGAAAACCAAACATGGTAAAAGTAAAACAGGAAATTTCMCAGAATAAGAGATACTGGGAATCTTAGTGGCAATTTAGATAAAAATACATTTCTTTTGAAGCCTTCTCCTAGCACAAATTTTAATGATTGATAAGGTCTCCTGTTTACCATTTCAAATCCTCCATTGAAAGATAGCTATTTATGGATCAGAAGTACCACATCAGTCTGCAGTTCCTTCACTTTTTGAGAAAAGTCAGTCTCCAGGAAGCTTTCAAGCATCTTTCCACCACACCAGCATTATAATGAGCCCAGMAACAGCCTATCCTGCACAATGAAATTTTAGGAGGGACCAGTGTGGTCTGGTCCCTCTGAATTAAGAGGGAGAGGGTGATGCCCAAGCAGCTTCCCAGATCTCAGAAGTGAACACCTCAAATGCCTATGTAACACATGGCAAGGGGGCACAAATTTCAAGCCCCGTTTGCTAAGGTGCTGGAGATTGCTCCCTCCCCTCACACCACCTGCAGCACCACCTTTTACTGACACCCAGCACCAGTCATTTCTGCAGCCACAACAAGCGTCACCTCCATCTCAACATAATTATGAWTTTTGTCCTTGCGTGTTTTAGATCACCGTACTGCCTTCTCTCTCATCTATCAAGCATTTAAGCTCTTTGAGGCGATAACATTTTGTCTTCTATTCTAAAATACTAAAATACAGTAATAATAAGACTTGCAAGAAAGTTAACTCAGCCTAGTGAGCAAATAGAAAAGATTTCAAAACTCTACAGTATTTCATGATCAGGTCCAATCATTGGTACTTAGGCAATCATTTTGATGACCACTACTCCTTCTGAGATCTGAGATGGGCTTCTTTACACAAAATGCCAAGACCTGCCGAAGTTTTCTATTTTATCTCAGAAAACTATCAGAAGAAGAACAGTATCTGTAAAACAAGTTCCACAAACTCCAGCTGAATAACTCACTTCTTCATTTTAACTTGCCCATGTAATAAGAGACCAAAAAGGCAGGTTCCTTTTGCGTCATCGGTGCCTGAAGAATGTGGAAAGAAAACATTTCTAGGTTTCTTTAAGTGCAGAGGATTATATTATGATCACACAAATATTAGAAAGTGGTTGACAAATATATAAATTACACATAGATTTACCTCTTTTACCGGTTCTTCATCCAGGGGAGCTTCTTCCACCACAGGCTGGCAAACACGGGAAAAAAAAGGGGAAAAAACATCTCATAAATACAGTTTATTAGGGCAAAAAGACTTCTAAAGCCAATTTCTAGCACATAATAGAATCCATTTACTTTTAATCAATAAGGTCACTCCAGACTTGCACTACTGCAGCAAGTACGTTTAATTATTCACATTTACTACAGGTGACCTTCAGATGTAGGAAGATCTGCTTTCTCTAACAGATATGAAACTACAACAAATCTATACACTATTTGCTGAACCAGCACATGGCTTTTATTGAGTTGTTAGTGGCTAAAAACGTGCATTTACTCTTTCATCTGCTGAAGGAGACTTTCTGCAAAGAAAGAGCACATGGAGGAAAGCACTAGTGCACACATCTGCTGACGAGAATCCAAACCACGTCTGTCAATAGAAATCACACAAGAACAAATGAAAGAAATGAAACAAGATAATTCATGAATAAACCAAAGAATTAGAACAGTATTTCTTTTTGAGAAAAAGAGAATATATGTACACTTTTGGACAGATTTTCCAAACACTTAACTCCCTCTTCAGCTACTATAATTTTAATGGATATTCTACTACAATGGAAACTCTTTGGGAATGGGGTAGAAAGATTCCTTCAAGATTGATCATGCTACTCTTCCTTAGGGAAACATTTCCAAGACTGTAATTCACCACCCTATCCATACAAGAGAGGGCTCAACAGCTCTGCCCAAGCCAGAATGGAAGAATTCCAGAGACATTAAGTGTCCAAATTTCCTTGCTTACTTGTCAGGCACAATTAATGCCCTCCAGAGTCAACAAGTGAAGGATGTAGGAAAGTGAAGGATGTAGGATGCTGCTCCAATCTTTCCTCAAAGCACACATAATACAGACATGCCCTCCCTTCACTCCTCCTTAGAGGAATTGATTTACTATAAACGTTGTCCTTAATATTTGCAAGTCATTCACCTGAGTCATGCAGAGCCACTCATAAAAGCATCTATTTTTAAAGGGTTTTTGGCATTAAAAGAAGGGGAGGAGGAGGTCCATATGCATCAGAGAAAGAAACCGGCTCCCTCCTTGTCTACTCATCTGCTAACTGTGAAAAGCTTCAGTGAAAAAGAACAACWTGCAGACAAGCACAAAAACACTTTATCCCACACAGCTTCAGGACCCATGACAGCTCCCTAGCAGTACTCCAGCCACTAGCGCTTCACTTGCACTTCTGCTTACTTAAAACTAACGTCCTCACTGTTCGAAAAGGAGGACAGTCTTTGCGGATAACAGGCTGCAAGAAATGGGACTCACTTCAAATATCCCAAATATCTCTTCAATTCTCAAATATCTCTTCAAATATCTCAACTAAATTAGAGGGAAGAGTGGTGTAGAAATTGTATCCACAGCATGATTTAAAGAGGTATATTATGAATATGCTTAAAGATGGCAATAAACAGAGTAAACGCTACACTACCTACTGCTCTTGTCTAAGCTTCAGAATTTTATACCTATCATTCTCTAATCCTCTCTAAATTATTTCCAAGTGAAATCTTGCATCACGAGTGACAGAATCAACTGKGTAGCTCCTAACTACAGCTTTTTAAAAGCAGGACAGGGTTGGGAAGAGCAGAAACCAAACATCTGATTAAGCAGCWCTGTAAAGGATCAGTTACACTCAGTAAGGAGAGCCACGGCCTTTCCTTCTCCCATTTAACAGAGAGAAAGACCTAATTCTTCTCTACCACCAAGAGAGGTAACAAGGAAAAGCTCCYGTCTTAAACAACCAACCCTGGGCTTCAGGGCAGAGCTGGAAGTGTCACCAACCATCTAGGGAGGGTTTTCCCAGGGGCTGCCAGCAGCTAATCCAATCGGAATGCTGATTTAAGTGGTTCTGTCTGGATCAGAAAGGAAAATACTAAATATGCACAAGGCAAAAACTGCTTTTAAGAGAGAGGGAGGCAAGAAGACAGACAGCAAGTACGCACACGCAACTTACTTGGATAAGATGCTGCATGGAAGCCAAACTTTGGGTTTATTTATTTATTTTTTTTTTTGGGGGGGGCAAAGAAAAGCATTTCCATGCTCTCTGGTAGAAAACTGGTCACAATAAGTACAGCGCTACAGAAGAAAGACCTGATGCATGTTACAGAAGTGTTCTCACCAAGAAAGCAACCCCAGGAGAAATCAGCTACCTGCTTAAACAGCCAGAAACAACCCGCAGTTGCCTACACAGAGCACATCTGTTAGCACAGGTTTMTTGCATTACACAAATCAGAGCAGGTGACAGCATTTAATAGTAAGTTACACAACAAAAACCTCTCTAAGCCCCCTGTGCTCTTTCCTAATGTACCAGCCCACAATAAGCTATAGAAATGTAATACCTTATTGTATAAAATTTGTATCACCTTTTACATATTTAAATTAGCAGYAAGAAATGAAAGCTTTTCCAGAGTTTAGCAACTCCTTTTCTGAGATACAAATTTGTGTTCCTTGTAACCTGCCTGTTTAAGCTATAATTACATAAAAGAAGAAACAAGACGTTTAACTGAATTCTGATCAAGTCAGAACAGCCTTAAGTGTAAATGGAAAAAAAAAGAGGCATATTAAAAATAAATAAACATACACACACAAAATCTCACCAGTTTCCCTCACCCGTTTGCATCACCTGTTACACAGATGTACCTTGGAGAGGAAATAATTAGCCAAAGCCCGCAGTTTTTACCACATCACTCAAGAGCCCCAGAAGCAGCCCAGGCGCGCTGTGTCCCTGCTCGCAGCCGGACAGGCAGCCGCAGCCTCCTGGGCACCGAGGAGAGGGTGTCACGGTGCGGGGACCGCGGCGAGGGCCACGCAGGGACAGCGGCCGGGCTGCGCGCGCCGGGCGCTGCTGCTCAAAACGGGCGCGGGGCAGCTCAGGAACAAAATCCAGCCTAGGGATGCGATGGGTAGTGCAAGTAGGAGAAAAGAAGGCATTAAAAAAAAAAAAAAGGAAAATAGAAAATAAAAGAAAAAGGAGAACTATCTGATCAGAGAATGGTGCTAGGCTCAGGCTCCAGCGCTTCATGTTTAAATACGAAGCTAGGTTTTCCACGCTCCCCACGGGGCCGCCTCCGGCTTCGGGAGCAACAGGTGCCCAGCACCGCCACTCCAAACGTTCACCGGGGAGGAAGGGAGGCAGCGGCCCCGGGGGAGCCTGGCCGCGCCGCCCCGCTCACCTCCGTCTCCATGGGCTCCACCTCGATCCTCTTCCATAGCTCCAGCAGGTGGGCAATGGGCATGCTGGCGCCCGGGGACACGCGGGGAGCGGCGCGGGAAGGAGCGCGCGCCGGGACCCGCCGCCCGCCAGGCAAGATGGCTCCGCGCCGCTCCGCTCCGCGCGGGGCCGCCGCGCCAAGGGCCAAAGCGGAGGCCGGGGATCCGGCGGGCGCTGCTATAGCAACCGTCGGCCCGGAGCGGAGCGGAGCGGCGCGCGAGCAGCGCCGTCCCAACTATCCCGGCGGGAGCGCGGGCAGGGCGGCCGCTCCGCAGGGAGCTCCGCAGGGAGCGGCGGGGGCGGGGCCGCCCCGGGGCCCGCCCGGGAGCCCGCGGGAACCCCCGCACACTGGGGGCGTCTTTAGAAAGAGGGGCTCTCTTTTACAAAATATGTATAACGTATGCTACATGTATGAGTAACACTGATGGTTTATTGCTGTGAGGAGACCTGAGGTGAAGCCCGTCCATCCACCAGCTGCCCCGGCCCCTCTGCGCCCGCACCGCTCTAGGGCCGAGCCCCAGCGGGGGGCCGCGCTTCCCAGCGGGAGGCCGCGATTCCCAGCGGGAGGCCACGGTTCAAACACAAACTGGGCAGTGACCGACTAATAAACCAGCAGCCTCCCCGTCCTGGTAACTTTGCAGGCGTGTGCTGTGTAAGTTACTGCTTTCCTGCACTGCCGCCGGGAAAGCCAGTGCTGTTGGAAGAACCGTCTCAAAACAAGCAGTGCACAAAGTGGATTTTGCTTCTGTTTAAAAAGCCACGGTTTATTTCCATAGCAGCAGTGCTGTACAAAATCGGTGCACAATTTAGTGAGCGATAAAAATCTCTCTGGCAGTCTCTGAAAGGAATGTTTAAGAGCTTCCCTCCGCTTCTGCTTCAGCTTCCTCCACTTCTATAACATGAATAATCTTCCCTGCAAACCTCAGTGGCAAGCAGATGTGGGAGAGATGGTCAGAAAAGGTATCTAGAGTATCTAGGTACCAAAAAAGGTATCTAGAGTATCACTCAACACTTGCTGAAAGGGGAAGGATAATTAAAAAAATAAAATAAAATAAAATAAAATAAGGAAAAGGAGAGCACCATGGTGTGGGTAATGTAGAATCACACATCGGGCACGTTCCTGAAACCAGAAGCCGCAGTATCCAGCTGTTACACACTCCCCGGCTCTTGTCAGTCCCTGCTTTCCCCCACGCAACATGTGACAACAGCAGAGAGATTTACTGCCCCGCACCCTGTGCCCAAAACTGCCCATAGCTGAGAGGCCATATCCGAGATCACCTGCAACGTGACTTTGGGGCACAAACCCTCCTTATTTCTACAAAACCCCAAGGTGTTCACTGCTCAGATAGACAAGTGTTCTCAAAGAAGTTCTATAAGACTATTTGACATTATCAGATGTGTTACCATGATTTCAAGAGCTCCATGTGTACAGGATTGCATTGTAACCCTTGGGGCACAAGGCTTGGATGCCGTAAGCCACAAGTAATAGCAAAGCATCAACCACAGCAAAAAAATAAGTGGGCCATGGCCAGATAATCCAAGGAGAAGCAAATCAAGGCAGTAAGCCTGAGACCCCTGCATCTGCAGTCAAGAACATGTGCAGGTAGAGCCAGTGCTTTYGCACCTGTTGCTAGGAGATTATTCTAACCCTTGAGTCCTGCAATTACATCTTTCCCTAAATATTTAATCTATAACCCAACCAGGATGTTAAAACCAACACCTTTCTGGACCTGCTCAGTTAGTCTGAAGATACATGAGTTAGAAATAT